TTATTATTTAATTACTTTAAGAAATAGATGTCCTTATGTTAGTCCATATTTTAGGCACACAACTACATTTTACCTTTCTATGCACTTAATTTTAATAGTTTCCATTTTTATTCTGGAAATAGGTCTGAAAATGTAATGTTAATAATGTGTGTTACCATTAGAAAAAAAATTATTGAGTGTGAAATCACAAGTTTTCTTTAGAAGGTCAAGGATATTAAGTAAGAATGAGTTCTACAAATGGCACTGGTGGGGAAAACTTATTCCGTGTTTAATATTGGAGGAGCCAAAGAAATAATGATTCACATATAATTATAAAAACGTCAAAGTAATTTTTAGCTTATAGAATACAAAATTTGTTAAACCAGGAACTTTTAAGTTGGGTAGTATAAAGACAGAGAATCTTTTAATACATCATTTATTGATTTTAACTTCACTTTTTTCTCTCCTTTAGGGTGTGATTAGGCCCACTGGAGGATACGCTGTAATGCTAAACTGGTCAATGTCTTCAATATATGGACTTAAACCTGGAGAGGTAATAATGGTTTTAAATTTACATCACCTGGCATTTATCTGATTAAGATACTCATACATGCATTTTATTATCTTGTTAATTTTTAGGTGTGGTGGGCAGCTTCTGACTTAGGCTGGGTTGTAGGACATTCCTATATCTGTTATGGACCTCTTCTGCATGGGAACACAACCGTTTTATATGAGGTAATACAGTAAGAATAACACTACCTATAGATAATATTGTTTTGAAACTTTTTGAGAAGCTGTCCTGAGTAGGAACAGAAAAATATGATTGGGGCAGAGGACATGTTTATGACTTCTTCCAGTTAAAATTATGATTTCAAAAGAGAGAGGGATATGTAAAAAAAGTAACAGCTAGCTATTTCAATTGTGTTCAAGAACAAAGTCAGTAAAAATAAATTCTGAAAAACATGCAATAAAAAGCTTGATGTTTATCCCTAACAGACTTCTAGAAAGTACTATATTATCAAACTTATACTGATCTTAGGGTCCTAGAAAGAAAATAGTTACTATAAAACAAGCAATGTAGATTCACCTTTTTGTGTTGTTATAAGATTAATGGATTTCCAAAGGCCTGGGATCTCAATTTTAGCTGATATTTTCCATGGTTTCTGACAATAGCTTTGTGTATAAGAGAGAGAAATATAGTCTCATCAAATTTATAGCTGAATAAAAAACTACTTGAAGATTCTAATGCATGTACTAATATCATCCAGGAATAGGGTTTCTGTGTATATATACTGGAAAATTCCCCTGATATGCCTTTTCAATTTATCAATGATTTGTATGAAGACTTAGAAAATATGCCTATCAGATTTGTAGGAGATCAAAAGCTTGCAGGTGTAACAAATATGGTAGTTTGCTAAACTATTACTTAAAATGATCTTGAACTTTAAGGACAAAACTAATAAGATGGGAAAATACAGAAATCTTTACAGTCTTATATTTACACTTTTAAAAATACAGAAATCAATTAGGAAAAAACTTGGGTCCATAACACAAACATAAACTGTTGTAGCATTGCTTTAAAAAATATTCAGTATATGCAATGATATAATCTTTACTCTTCCACATTTGAAAATTTGTGTTCAGTTTAATGGAGAGGATAAAAAAATCATTAATGATAAAAAATCATTAATCATTTTCAGAAAACATCTGAAAGAAGGGAGCTAGGATGAAAATAATGTCATACAAGAAAGAAATGAAGGAATTGGGAATGATTAGTTTAAAAAATAAAATACTTAATATGCATCTATATAGCATATATATGTATATATACAAAAAATTATATATTTTTTGATATGTAAAGAGATGCCACATATAATGTAAGTAGTCTTACAATGCAAAGTTACAGAGAGTTATATTTTGGAAATAATCAGAGATAAATTTAAATCTTCAGTAGTAGAATAGTAAACTTAAATATAAGGCATTCTTTCACATGAAGTGGTCTCTGAACAAGGGATCTGAAGAAGAGAACATTATATGTGGGGTGTGGAGAATAGTGTTAAATGATGTCAAGTTGTTTTACAATTTTAAAGTTTTGCAACTCAGTGAATCTGCAGAAATGAGAGGCTATTCTCTATTTTCATGGAATTCTCCTAATTCCCATTGGTATTTAAAGGCCATTGTTATTCCTGGCTAGTTTTCTGTCTCTGAGAGCATATATATATACACACACATATGTATGTATGTATATCTGAATGACAAAGAAAGTACATCATATCAAAATTCTGGGGACACAGCTAAAGCTGTGCTGAGAGGGAAATTTATAGCACTAAAGGATATTTAAGAAAAGAGAAAAATTCTCAAATCAAGAATCTAAGCTCGCATGTCAAGAACATATGAAGAACAAAATAAACCCCAAACAAACAAAAATAAGGAAATAATAAAGATAAGAGCAGAAATAAGTGAAATTGAAAACAGAATAACATATAAAAATTAATGAAACAAAGGCTGGTTCTTCAAAAAAATAAATAAAATTGACAAATCTCTACAAGTCTAACAAAAAAAAAGAGAGAGAGAGAGAGAAGACCCAAATTACCCATATCACACATGAAATACAAATATCACTAAAGATCCTGTAGACATCAAAAGAATAACAAAATAATATTATGGGGCAACTCCACATACATAAATTTGACAACTTAGATGAAATGAATCAACTTCTCCAAAAACATAAATTACCACAACTCACCAAATGAGAAATAGGTCACTTGAATAGCCTTATTAATATTACAGAAATAAAATGTGTAATTAAAAGACTCCCAGCAAGAAATCTTCAGGCACAGAGAATTTTGCTAGAAAATTCCAGCAGATGTTTAAAGAAGAATCAACACCATTTCTGAACAACTTCTTCCAGAAAGTAGAAGAGGAAGGAATACTTTTCTATTCATTTTATAAAGTTAGTATTGCCCTAACAACAAAACCAGACAGAGACAGAAAAATAAAATACTGCAGACCGATATCCCTTATGAATATAGATACAAAAATCTTGGCTAAATATTAGCAAACAGAATTCAGCAATATATAAAAAGAATTGTACACCATGACCAAGTGGAATTTATTACAGAGATTCAAGGTTGGTTTAATATTTGAAAATCAGCCAATGTAATCTACCATATTAACAGAAGAAGAAAAATCATATAATCATATCCATTGTTACAGGAGATAATTTAATAAATTCAACATTCATTAATAAGAACTCCCAGAAATCTAGGAGTCTATAAAAAAACCTACCACTAACATCCTAGTTAATGATAAAAGACTAAATGCATTTCCCCTATCCTCAGGAACAAGGCAAGGATGGTCATTCCCACCACTCTATTCAGCATGGTTGTGAAAGCTCTAGCCAGCACAATAAGGCAATATAAGGAAACAAAAGGTATACATATCAGAAAAGAAGAAATAAAATTATCTCTATGTGCAGATGGCATGATTACCTGTGTAGATAATTGTAGAAAACACAAAAAAATCCTATAACTAAGAAGTGAGTTCAACCCAGTCTCAGGATATAAGGCAAACATAAAACTATCCATTGTGTTTCTACGTGCCAGACACGAACACACATGTCTAAAAAGGGCAACATGACGGATCCCTGTGGAGCTAGAACTGTTGTGTATCTTGACTGTATCAATATTCTGATTGTGATATCATACCACAGTTTTGCAAGATGTTGCCACGGAAGAAAGCTGGATAATGGGTACACGGTATATCTTTGCATTTTTCTTACCACTGCATGTGAATCTACAATTACCTCATATGAAAAGACTAATTAAAAAATAAAAAACACAAAGCTTTTGAAGAATTTGGTTTCTTAAAGAATATAACTCAAACTCATTTGCATGATCCAAATAATCCATAGTTATCTGCCCCTTTCTAACATTCTCTCTGGTTTCTGGCCTCTGACTTTTCCTTCCCATCCAATACTCCTATCTCCTATCATTCTGGGACTTACATGAACAGAATTCTCCCAGTAATAAAGTTGTTCCTTCTGTTAAAACTCCACTTTACTGGGGCTGGCCCGGTGGCGCACTGGATAAATGCGCCGCTTGGGAAGTGCGGCGGCGCTCCCGCCCGAGGGTTCGGATCCCACATACAGACCGGTTCCCGCTCACTGGCTGAGCGAGGCGCGGGAGCAACACCGAGGGTTGCGATCCCGTTGCCGGTCCCCGGTCCGGTATGGGGGCAACACTGAGGGTTGCGATCTGTTGCTGGACACGGAAAAGACAAAAGACAAAAAAAAAACAAAACGAACAAAAAAAAAACTCCACTTTACTGAACTTGCAATCTTACAAATAAAGTTCTGTGATACTAAATTCTTTGAGGGCAGGGGATGTTTGTCATTTCTGTATCCCTACTGCCTGGCGCAGTGCCTTCCAAGAGGTAGGTAAAATTTGTTTAATGAGTGAACCATTTTTAAGAGTGTTAATTAACAACTTGAGCATTTAAAATGCAGAGAAAAATTTTGCTTGATTGATTAATTAAAATAAAATAAAACTGAACTCAAAAAGAGTCCTGACTTGTCACTAAGCCAGTAAGTAAAAAGAAAAAATTAAACTTTACAAAGTAATTGTCACACTTGTGCTTCTATTTTAGGCTGATTATCAAATTAATATTTAATATTAATTTACTTTAGTATTATTAGTAATATTTTATTTAGGAAACCAAATTCTTCATTAAAATAATAAAATTATCATCCATTCTATAGTGAACAAAACAATTTAGCAGATCATTAATATACACCTTAGAGGATTACCTTTTCTAAGGAGAAATAAAATTCTATACAGCTCAGTGTGATCAAAGTTCTGTTTTTATTCTTAATCAATTATAGCATTTCAAAGCTGTAACATAATATAAAGTAGATAGTGAATTGGTATCCAGAACAATATTTTTTCTCAATGATGAATTCTGATTTAACAAAAATTGATATTCTGAAGTGCTAGGAAACTTGCAGTTCATTATGTGCTAAATCATCTAGAGTACAACATCCAGTTCATAAAATATATCTCTTTTATTGAATGCAAATGATTCATGATATTTTATGAATGAATAAGGAGTTAGTCTTTTTTCTCATCAACAGAACGTTTTATATATTCTGAAATTTCCTGCAAATCTATAACTATATTATGTGTAGAAAACTCAAAAATGGTTATAACTAAGTTGGGTATTCAGTTTCACTTCTATATGCATAAGAGTTAATTGCTTGAAATAATCTGTTTCAACATGAAAATATACAATGGACATTTAAATAAGATTTTCTTTTGTGCCATAAGAAAACATACAGCTGTACATCTGTAGAGTGAAAACATATCAAAAATTCTGTTTTCCTGCTTCGCTGATAATTATCACATTTTTAAACAAATTGGTATTTCTCTCACTGAAACTTGAAAACGAACAACAAAAATCCTTGATCCCTTATTCTCTTGCAGCTACAACATTCTCTCTTCATTTTCTAAGCCTTGTCTGCACTCAATAGCTGCATTTTCTAACCTGGAACTTACTCTGCAGTCTTCTCCAATTAGCCTCTATCATCTTCTTTTCGTAATAACAACTTTCTAAAAAATATCCCCAGTCATCTCCATTTTTCCAAAGGCATTGGGCATTTTCAGTCCTCGTTGTACTGGGCTTCTCACCATTTGGGAGTGTGGACCATTTGCTCTATGTCAATCACTCCCTTCCCTTCT